CGCTACTTAATATTGCAACTAGCTATTTCATTGGTGCCGCCACCGGGACTTGAACTCTGGTTACATTTGAATCGAAAGCGAGCGCCCGGACACTAAAGGCCCATTTACACGATGCCATTTTCTTGTACACACAAGAGCAATAATTGAATGCAATAAATTGCGCGCAATAATTGTTAAGACCATTTGTTGTTTAGACCATGCAACTCATTTATTGCTTCAATTTAATTGTATACAACAGGCAAGAAACTGGCACCGTGTAAATGGGCCTTAAGCCGCCATGACACGCAGACTAATACACATACGGTCATGAACATTGACATGATATTTTGCAAATTTTTAAACTGTTAACCAATAGGATAAATAGACTAATTTATGATTATGACTATCCATCTCGGATTATAACATATTTTATGCGTTTTGTAATCGCTGGCAACATTTAACGACTTTTAGAAAGGTTTCTAATTTCCATTGGCAACTCGTCATCATAAGTTATGTGTAAAATACATTGTGTATTCGTCACTTCTTTTTTCGTAAATCGAGGCTCAATAGGACAAAAAAGGTGACTAATATTTCCAGTCTTTTTAAATACGGGAGCAAAATATAATATTTTTTTTATAAAATGATAAGAAAACTGAACAGTTGTAACTTCAGGGCCCACTTTTCTTTTAAGTTATAAGCTATTTTAGCCCAGAATCAGTGACATTGTGATCAATTAAGAAGCTGATTTAAATTAAGTCTCAAATTTTCACGAAAAGAATGTCTTAGAAAAACCTTTACGTGAATCTGCCAATTTACACTTAGAATATATTTTAATACCTTTTCTTCCGCCTTTGTTAAGTCAATATCCAATAGGTAGATTCGAGTATATACCGTGACTTCAATAGTCATCTGTCATCTGGCGAAAAGATTAAAGCGCTCGCGATTAATACACCGATTTATAAACAGTTGATAATTCCATTTGAAACAGATGATTTTTCATAAACGAATACATCTATGTTCTATCTAAGCGGTCCACCTGATGCTAAATGATATCGACCACCAATTTAAAACCAGACCACGGCACCAGGAATGTTCACCATTCTGACCTAGTGGTCAGAATTCTATTAGTAATAGCGTAGAGTTTAATTTATTAAGCCTAAAGGCCAAAAATTAAATAGCTTACCATCGCTAGGCCGAGTTCTACTTTTGGAGCAGGTGCTGTTTTGTAAGCCGATGTAGGGCATCGTTAAATTACCACAGAAAAATCTTAGCACAGTCAGATTCGCCTAGGTTTCTTGATTTCACACCAGCTAAAACTTATCTCTGTGGATGTTCCAGGGTGTGATCAAATGCTTGCTTTGGTAGAGTTTCCATTTACAAGACTTTTTGATTTGCTCTTCATGTTTTTCATTGCTTAACATTGAACGTTGGTACCGTGGTGTTAGACTGTCAAGTCGTAGTGTCAACATTTGTTATGTTCGCATTGATGTATTGTTCTGTCTGAATGTGACACGATAGACAATGAAGCTCTTTTGGCACGGCAAAAAATTGCAAGTTATCTCGCTTTGCTGATAAAGTCAATGGTATTTAAGGGTTACACACGCGTGACGTGTGCTTGGAATAAATGAGAAGGAGGTGATGTACAAAAAAAAGCAAGATGAAACATAAGAGCACATTGTGTGTACACTTGCTCGTATATTGTGGGCTCGAGTGGTGGACTTTACAATTCTACCATTTGCACAAAGAAGGTTATACCCAGCAGTAAATATATACAAGTGTTTGCAGTACAGGATACTTTTATAAATAATCCACTTTGACGATGACAAGTACCTAAGATGAAAAAGAAAGCCCATAAATCTAGCGGACACATATTGTATATTATTTTGTTTACCAAGGTGCATACATAAAAATGAATATTGCGTTTATTGCAACTTACCTAATTTAAATGACCCTAGACCACCTAATCGACAGTATCACCCCTGCGAGACAGGTTGCTAACCGAGTGCAGGGTTCACTAAGCAAATGTGTATAGGATTTGCAAATGTACATGTGTTCACTATTGTAAAATGCTTTTTTGTACTCTACATACAATTTGTTTAATTTTGTTGTTATTATTTTGGAGATATTTTTTTAATTTTCTCGTCTGGTTGGGTTTGTAAATTTATAAATTATTATCATTATAATCGGCCAGGCTTCAACTCTATTAAATCACGCCACTACTGTATATAAATCAGAACACAGCATTGTTTTAATGTGCATGTTTATTTATTTCGTATATCATCGCTCGTTTTTCTGTTTCTTGTGTTCTTGACCTTAGATTGCTTCTTTTTCTATTCAACTTTGGTATTTGAATTGTTTACCGTATAAACATAACATTAATATAGATATATCTAACATTCTGGCAACACCATGATGATCGTATAAGGCTACAATTGGTGCTAGGCTATCTGTAGTATCAAGGTTATTACTAACTCATTCCCCACGCATATTAGCTTGTAACCGGTTTGTCAAAGGTTGACAATAGAACAGAATGTTTCAATAAACAACAACTTCTTTTTCTTTTCTACTTTTTACTTGTTAAGTTATTTAATGATAATTTAGTTATTAAGTCGAAATTGTTTTATTGTTTTATCATCTTCCGGTTCAGATATCGATAAATAATTGATTAGTGATTCGAGGTAACTAGCTTCCTATTTAAGAATTAAAAAAGTGTTATGTCTAATGTTTTATCCACGATAAATTTACTACATGCAGGGACATTGTAAAAGTAAAGTAACAGTCTATAAAGGTCCCTCTGTACAGAGAAGGTTTTAGGGCATAATCCACCACGCGGCCCACTGCGAATTGGCGGACTTCACATATCTTCGAAACATTTTTTTTTTCATTATAAAATCGAAAATATGCAGGTTTCCTCACGAGGTTTTCCTTCACCGTTGAGCACGCAAAATTCAGTTTCGCAAGGACGTTGAGTTGATTTAATTTGTTGTCGTCGTATTTAATCCTTTCAACACTAACAAGGAAACGCGTGACCAAGTAGCGGGTAATGGAAAGCACTTTCGGTTTCCGTTATAGTCGGCTTCATCTCGAATTCACGCGTCAAGCGTACTTTCTCGTCGGACCAGTTTCGTTATTGTATCTTCGATAATTGTTTTTATGGTTTCATATTACGTCACAGATATTTAATGTCAATACTGTTTAATATTGTATGAATAGATTTAACTTAAACACACGGTAGGTGGTTTGGAAAAACTACTAGTTTCTGTGTACCGCTGTTTCGGTTATAGTATTACTAGTTTTGGTTCTTACTTTGTAAGAACGTAACTAGTTCGTTGATCTGGTTGCTGATCCTGAATTCGGTCAGAAATTTCACTGAAATCTGAACTTTAAAGTATCAGTTTCGATGTTATCTTTGTTTTATTGGGTCGCGTTTATATGCTATCAAAAACAACTGTTTCATCAGAGTTAATTCCATTAATTGCCTTAATAGGTAGATTTAGATCTTTACTGCTCCCTCGTGCTTTAGATAGCGTAAATCTCGCTTAACCTGCTTTCAGAGGCGTCACTTTTTGGTTGCGTCAACCTTCCCGCGTCATGCTTCACTAAAGACAACATTACAACTTTAATGGTTTGCAATTATCATCATTTAAATTACCCGTTTAGTTTGGACCCGGTTTTTGGTTTTATTTGACGTAAGAATTTTCCCTAACCTATTAGTCTGCTCTCTGTTTGTATTTCCGTTAATAAAATACTTCAACACTAGAGAATACTCCTTAAGCCATCTTTATGACGAAGCTTTCTGTCTAGCTAGTTAACAAAACTAACCTAGAAATATCAATCTAAGGCATTGTTAGTTGATCTTGGCTGAAACTAAATGACAACATATAAATAATAATAATAATAATAAATATTAGGACACATTCTTTTTACACAACGTTCTCTAGTCCCAAACTAAGTAATGCTTGTACTATGGGTACTAGAAAACTGATAGACATACTTAAACGTACTTTTCTTTTGTAAACAAATACACATTATACATACATAAACACCCAGACACTAGAAAAACACTATGCTCATCACACAACATTTTTCCAGTAGTGGGGATCGAACCCACACCATCTGGCGCAGAAGGCAGGTACACTACCGACTACGCCATTCGGGTCGTCGAAAATGTTATATTCTTTCTGATTTTGGCATTGGGTTCCTCAGTAGAGTATATGAAATTTGATTTTGAACATTTCGTTATGCTCATGCACAAGATGCAGAAGAATATCCGTGTTGTAAAAAAAACTTAAAGATGTTTATGAAATCCGACGGAAAATATTGACAAAAATGTTTAACATTGAAAACAAAATACATCTTCCCTTGAAATTAATATTGTCTGCGACCTTTACTCTAGCCAAGTCTGAAGCGTGGATGGTGTAACTGTTGAATTTTATGAGAACCTTATTGTGTTTAAAGATTCGCAATTTTATTATTTGAAACTGAGAACTGTTTGAAACTGAGCCTTAGTGATAGAAATTCTCTATTAATAACATTGTTACGGACAAAAAGCAAACTGACGATGCGTCAAAAACTTTTTCTTATAACTTTTTTCGTCACTGTACAAACTTTTGAAATTTTTGTTACTTTTTAGTTTTGTTACTTTATTCCTTAACATTTAAATTATAGGCGCACTACTAACGTCAAAAAATGTATTAGATTTGACGGCATTTCATTGAGGTTTGAAATTAAATGAACTCACCCCAATGTAATGTGTTTCTTATACAATCCTTTTTCCTTTTTTCTTACTTTGCTGTAATATGGTCTCTCGTTCTTTGCAGAAAAAATGGACGAAATCCCCGAGCATTCGCCGACATCAGACACATAGACGAATCGATATTTCGATCGCCTCAAGGAAACAATAGATACTGTGATTAAAACGTTGATCTCCTAGATCTCTTAGGCTTAGATGAAGATTAGATCAGGCGAGGCCGAAGCGACGGTACAAAGTGTTCAATCGTGACCGATATCGACCCGACAAAATGCCGGCCATCCTGACGAAGATAAGGGAGCAGGCGTTCAGGGTGCAGCCGACTATTGCCGTGGGCGTGGGCGTGGGCGTGGCCCTGGCCGCGTGCGCCGTGTACGGGACCCGCGAGAAGAAGCAGCCACCGGCATGCCACAACAATAACAATTATAAGGTGGGTCGGCTTACTTAAATCCCGTGGAGGTTAGTAGCTTCGATCCGCGTCTTGATTCGTGAGTTTCCTTTCGAAATTAAATAGTTTCTCAGTATAAATACTATTTGATATTAATTCATTGATAATTGTTATTGACATTCCGACGTAATGACGCCTACAGCGAAGTATATTTATTTGCTGATATACTTTGGAACAGTACTAAATAAAAAAAGAAACATTATTCTAAATACAACATCAAATTAGACATTTGATTGACGTATAAATTGGTATTAATTGTAGGATGATGTAAGAATGTCTACTCGAGATGAGAGATAATTTTATTTAACTTAGTTTTTATATCACCATGGAACATAAAGAGGTTGCCATCGAGATCTGTTACATACAATAATTAAAGCGGGGATTTTTTTTAATTATTCATAAATGCTGTTGGTAGAGTAACAGTAATGGTAGCGCCCGTTGAATACAGAACAAACCAGCAAGTGGTTCCTGATGTTAAATTATTACCGCCGCTAATACTTATGTTTGTACACTTTTGAGGTAAAAAAATAGGGAAATCATTTTAGCATATCCTTTACCATTATTTATTTAGTATACCTATGTTTATCAAATATATATATGTGTTTCTGATATTACTGCGGTAGTAGTATCTGCTCCAATCTTTAATGAAGATGGAGGCCTTTTACCTCTCTCATCAGGTGGAACGCAAGAGTTCTCTACTTCCACTACTTCACTCTTCTTTATAGTCTTCACCGTCCACGGCAGGAAAAAGAGGGAAGACCGAAGTGGGTTTTACTGAGCTATTGCGTTCACCATCCACGGCTGCGAGGCTTCTTGCCGGCCAGGTGGCGTAGCCGCCGAGCTAAACGTTTTCAGGGACTATGGAATATCTTTTTAAGATCCACTGCTTTGATATAGCTGTGCCAAGCTATTCGCACTTGCAGAGGGGAGGGGGGGAGTTTAGTCTAACCGTGTCGGGTTAAAACATATAATATATAAAATGCAGTTAGTTACGGGAGAGGCGGTTTTGTAATATAAATACATTAAAATATAACTAATTACTTCATAACCTTTGTATTCAAAATATTACGAATTTTAATGAACATTGTATAAGTTCGGTGTTTTCTCACTTAAATAACTATCTGCCACTTTGGCTTACGTCAAAGTTCGCTAATTATATGCGAAAACTTCAAGTTTTTTTTTTCTTCAGAAGGTTTCTTATCAACGCTGACTTTATGTTTTTGTCCACATCACACATAATATTTCCTAATGACATTGACGTCAGACTAGTGGCGGACATTTATTCGTGAACTTAATTTATGTTACTTTGTTGTTTTGCGACATGATTTATAATAACGCCATTTCGCAAGGCGACTTATGATTGATCGAATATTTTAAACTGTGTACGGTGCTCTTGACCTTTTGGATTTTTTTTAAATTTATTACGAAAAAAATTGACCAATCGCCGAAAGAATCTAAAATATCCTATATGATTTGCATATTTTAACTAATAGCAAAAGAACCAGCCTTCGCACAGTTATAGAATTAATGGAATTTAACGACAATGGCCTTGGAGCTGAGTCCCATTGGTGAATATAAATCCCGTACATTGCTTATTATCATTTAGATTTCTACCGTTTTACTTCTTACAATTGAATAATGTACTTATAAAAAATTTAAGAACACGCGTTACATAAATAGTTACTTCGATCGTCTGACGAGTCTCGAGGTCTTCACCGTGTGCGAGAAATAACATTGGAATTATGTCCAAAACGTTTAAAACGAAATTTTTAGCGCGTCTCCGAACTTGGGATGAAACTTAAAATGCGCAGATAAAAATTGTCGAAAAATTTTTTCGCCGCTGTCAGAATTATAATTTTTCCAATATCCGAATTACGCGTTCAGACGCCCTAGCCAATAAGCGGCCGAAAACACTTTCGTAAATTTTATGTACACGTTCTAAATTTAAAACGAATATTCGAATTTTTTCAAATTCAGCCAAATCAGTTGAGAAGTCAACCTCATAATCGTCCGCCTCGCTGAAGCTATTATTTATTTAATCAAGTCATATGTTATAAGTTATAACTTATTGTTTTTATTCATTCCGTGTAACGTATAGCACAAACAATGACGTGAGGAGGGGATGACCGATTGTTGACAGTTTGTTTTGTGCGTACCTATTTTTATAATAATGAATTCTGAAGTAAATCAGTGTAATCAAATAAATACTTTTGTGACACAGTTATTTCGAATTCGGAAATCCTTGGATAATTACAAGTTACTTTGACACCTTAACGATGCCTTGAATAAAAGTGAATGGAATAACAATAAAATACACATTTCACTTGAATAACTGACTACAAATGGTGATAGTTCACCATTTTTGAATGATCCGATGACCGATAACTTGTTTTCGCGCCAAACTTCTATATTTACGACGTTGTTTACATTTACAATGCATGGTCAAGTACTTGTCAAGTACATAGCTTTTACTCATGTACTGGCTGGATCTAAAAAGTTAATATTAAACGAGCCACAGTAAATTTACAATATTTAGCAGGTGGAAATTGTAATTCGATAATCTGTAACCTCACATCTAGATAAAAGCCGCGTGTTTTAGTGGTAAGTTAAGCAAGGCAGATAAATAACGACATGATAGTTTGGATAGAGATACTTTATGGGACACATCATGGATACATCCCGGAAAAACACACGGTTTTTGATGTATAATTCTCAATGCATAAATCTTTCTCTTTAATCTATTCCTACCAAACCGACCGAAAAGGTAGATATTTTATGCTTTACACAAATACAAATAAGACGGAATCGAACCTCTAGGATTAATGTAGGTCTCCGTGAAATTTGAGGCACGGCAACTAGAAGAAGCAATCTTCTGCAACGGGCTCGACTGTGCCCTTCGCAGTTCTCCTCCCCTCGGGAGCTACACACAGTCTGAACATTTGATGCTGGGCCGGTGCAAATAGCACAGCATCTATCACGGGGCAACCCCATTCCCACCACCCGGACTCACTATGAAGGGAAGGCTGTGCGCGTAGGCCAGCCTCCTGCGCCCTTGTCGCCGCCGGTGGATACCCAGGGTGGCGCCTTTTATCTCTCCGCGTCCACCTTCCGTTCGATACCACTCCCGTAGTCTGCGTCTACAGCACCACACGCCCGCTGTAGCTAAAGCCTACCGCTCCCTATAGCTTTAATGTCAACGTAGACATCTATCAAAGTTAAATCGGTGTGTTTTTCTCGCAGGTGGCTAAGAACGGGACGCTCCATTCGCTCCAGAATGGGGGCACTGAGGAGAAGACTTGTGGCGGCAGATGCGGGGCCGAGCAGTGCGCCCTGTGCCGAGGAGACGCCGACACAGACAACAAGCAGAACATCGTAAGTATTTTCCGCGTGATAACGGTTTTACGGTGGTAGGGCCACGCAGTAGCCTCGGTTGTTGCACGAATGGGCAGGCCCGTCCGGGTAAGTAACACGACCTCACAGAAGACCAGCGTAAAGTTGCAAATACTTTCGCGTTTCGTCTAGTGAGTGAGGTAGCCGGAGCCCAATTTTCAAAAGGTTGTCAACGCATCTGTAACCCTCAGGTGTAGCGGATGTCTATGGGCGGCGGTATTTACTTACCATCAGGTGAACCGTCTGCTCGTTTGGCAACTTATCACATAAAAAAAAAAACAGGCGGTGGCTTTTGTTACAATACATTCAGCTCACTCACTCTTTTCCTGATTCGAAACACATCACGAATCAAGTCTCGAATCGAACAGATTCAAAGACCAAAAGTTTACGTCAACAGGAAATCTCATCAACTGTCATTATCCGGCGTTAAAATTTGTGGTCTCCACAAATAGTGTGTGCTGTTATGTTTTGAAAAGCTCCCACAACACAGGAGTGTGAGTATATAGTCCCCATCTCTTAGTGTGAGAGTTGCTTTTTTAGCTGCAAAGTAATATTAACATGAGGTTTATTATGCGTCGTTGTACATTCAAGGGGGAGGTGGAAGAAACTCCGGCACCCGAGGAGCACGTGCCCGGATTGAACCTGGAGTTTCTGAGGCAGCTGATCTCGCTGGCGAAGATCATGGTGCCGAGCGTACGGAGTCAGGAGGTGGCGCTGCTGACTGCGCACACCCTCTGCCTCTTCTCAAGAACCTTCCTCTCGATTTACGTCGCGTCATTGGAAGGGTCGATTGGTGAGTACGTCAAGTTTAGCAAAATAGTAACTCGTTATTACTCATTATGCTTCTGATATAAAGCCGATTGACTACAATACCATGTATCCTAATAGCGTGCATGTATAGCGTTTGAAATAATATTCTGCGTATTATGGTAATTTTTGTCCCAGGATTCTACTAATATACAGAGTTATGAATAAGCAATATTCTTGTTCAGTTCATCATTTGAAATATTTAAATCTAATCGGTACATTTATTGAAACTTTATTTTTATATTATTTTAAATTAAACTGCGTGGATTATCTTATAACTTATCTTATTTAATCACCAATACATTAAAAAAATTGCTACGCGGAAAAATTTTGATTTTTCCATTATTTGGTATTTAAAAATGTGCAGCAGTTTAAAGAAACAGGCGAATTGAAATTGAAGTATCTTTATTCAACATACGAGCATAACACTCCCTTCATGATTGTCAAAATACTACTACCGGTTCGGAGAAGACTTGAGAAGAACAGGCAAAAAGAAACTAAGCTGGACAATTGGTTATAATATGCAAAATACATTATGAATTTTTCTAATAAATTCCGATCCAATCCGTTGTTAGTACTATTATATGTTACTACTAGCTGCTGCCCGCGACTACGTCTGCGTAGAATAGGCTAAAGGCGTAACATTCAGACAAGACAGATATACATAAAATATGTATATAAATTATAGCCTATATGTCATTCTGATGTATAAGCTATATTATTGTAAAGTTTCATTAGAATCCATTCAGTAGTACTTTTTTTAAACTATGCCCTTACTTTAGCATATCATTATCCTGTGTTGAAAGTCCTGTGACGTTTTACAAACATAAATTTAACGCAGATAAACACCCAGACGGTCGCACAAATAGTTGTCCCGTGTGGGAATCGAACCCACGACCCCCGACGCCGAAGCCAATACCTTGGCAACTGCGCCACGGAGTCGTCAAGTTTCATTCTGATATTATAAGCTATATTATTTTAAAGTTACATTAAAATCCATTCAGTAGTATTTGCGTGAAAGAGTAACAGACATCCATACATACAAACTTTCGCGTTTATAATATTAGTAAGGATATAACTGAACCTCCTCTCCTTTCGCAGTAAGACACATAGTCCAGAAGGACTTGCGCAGTTTCACGTCCCTGCTGTTCCAATGGTTCGGCATCGCCGTGCCGGCCACCTTCATCAACTCCATGATCCGGTACCTGGAGAGCCGGCTGGCCTTGGCGTTCCGCACCAGGCTCGTGAACCACGCCTACGACCTGTACTTCAAGAACCAGACCTACTACAGGGTCGCCAACTTGGATGCCAGGATAGAAAACGCGGACCATAGGTGAGTAATTGATGATTCTTTGCCGTTTCTGTGGTGTTTAAGCATCGACGTTCCGAATTATTGCTGGCGTCGTTCAAGGCACTCGTATCTATCAATCCTTAAAGTTAAGTTTTAATAAAATTGTGAATGATCATCGTCATTATCATCATGGTCATTTCCTGGTTTAGTCCACTGCAATCAGTCAATTGTTTATCAAATGATTTACTCTGTAAGAGAATGCTCAAGTAACGTTAAAAGTAATTATACTTTTAGATCAATATTAATCATTTTGTTTCCCTCTAAATTCCTCACGTTTCCTGTTTTCCATTCGCGCGTTCGTTGTTTTTTTTTCTTGCCTTGTTAGTACAATAACCTCGAGATATTCAACCAGTTCTGAATTACTTTCCAACGTAAATCGAACATAAAACTTCTTTTATATATAATTGACATTAAATGTCAAAAATAGCCATTTAAAAATAACCTGACTAATAATTCTGACTGTTCTTTTATTGTATTTTAACTTGTAATTACTTGTTACGTAAGATAAACTTGTTGAGTAAGAGCCGTGATAGCTCATTGTCCGGGCGCTCGCTTTGCAATTCAATATATTTTCCTTTATGTGAGAAAGTGGCACACGAGCTGGCGGTTCACCTGATGTTAAGTGAGAACCGTCACCCATGGACACTTGAAACACCCGTAGGGTTGCAAATGCGTTGCCACCTATAAATAAAGTGGGCCCCGGCTACCTCACTCACCAGACGAAACGCAGAAGTGTAACACTTCCACTTTACGCCGGTCTTCTGCGAGGCCGTGGTACTAACCCGGACGGACCTGCCCATTCGTGCAACATTGAACACTGTTGCGTGGTCCTACCACAGTTAACCAATATACGCGAGCAACTTGAGTTCGATCCCCGGCGGGCTGATGAAGTTGTTGATTTTAAGTGCTGACTTATCACGTGCTCAGCGTTTTAGGAAAACGTCGCGAGGAAACCTGCATATTTTCGAAGTAATAACAAAAATATTTCTAAGATATGTGAAGTCCGCCAATCCGCAGTGAGGTCACGTGATGGTCCTTATACCCTCTGTACAGAGGTTCAACAGTGGGGGAGGAATATACCTCACACTGGCCGTAGCTTTACTATTTTAACTTGTGTAATTTAACAGTTGTTTAACGTATAGATAGTTTTTTAAACATAGTCATCACCGGATTCGTATCTACAGACTTACGGAGGACGTGTCGGTGTTCACTCAGTCGGTGGCGCACCTCTACAGCTCGCTGACGAAGCCCTGCTTCGACCTGCTCCTCATAGTCCTCACCCTCGCCAGCTACTCCAGCAAGATGAAGGGCAACATATTCCTCGGTGGGTGTTCTGTTATTTAGGCCAGACCAGGGAAATGGGTAAATGTAGAATAGAATAGAATATACTTTATTGCACACAAGGAAATACAAAGAAAAAAGATACAGGAAACATAGTGCTAAGGTAGCAATTTCTTCCAGGCAACTTTAAATATAGCATCTTAACTATTGCTAAATGAAGATAAGGTTATGATAAGCAATACTTATCGTAGGATATCCACATTGGCGTGGTGCAGTGGGTTCCAACTATTATAAGAGAAACAGCTACCTCAGTCGAGGAAAGCGCTAAGATATAATTTAACTTTGTAGTTTCTTTGCTGACTATTTGTAACTCTACAGTTTCTTGTATGTTCTATAACATTAAGGCGAGAGCGTCATAGCTGCTCCTCAACTAGATTCAACAGTAAAAATGTATTCGTTTCTATTGGTTGTTTAAAAATGTTCCTGATTGGTCGACAATTTGGAAATAGCTCATTCGCAACACGACCCTTAAGTCGTACCAATTTCGGGAGAACTGCATGGCCGACAATGCAATTGAATATTTTTCGTAAATCGGTAAATAAAGACATAAAAATTAATAGATTTAGTTGGAGTCTAGATTTAGTCACACGCTGATGAAAGCCAGCCAATGGACCGTCGTACGCCGTACCTAATGTTAAATGCGTTCTGAATTCTAAATTAAAACAGAGCAAGGAGGAAACATAAATTTCACGTGGACAAACACCCGGATCGGAAACGCCCATCTGCGGGTCGCACAAACAGTTATCCCGTGTGGGAATCGAACCCACGACCCCGACGCCGAAGCTTGGGCAACTGCGCCACGGAGTAATCAAGCCCGATGGGTGCGGACTCATTGGTGTAACGTCCAGGTCCCGGCATCGCGACCGTGGTGATCTGCCTAACGGGTCAGCTGTTGCGGCTGCTCAGCCCCCGCTTCGGAGCTCTAGCTGGTGAGGAGGCGCGCATGAAGGCCAACCTTCGCCATGCGCACAGCCGCCTCATCACCCACGCCGAGGAGGTCGCCTTCTACGGGGGCCATCAGGTAACCCGCCCTTGATCCTGGTCTTTCTATGTGAGAAGGTGGCAAGCGAGCAGGCGTTTCACCTGATGCTGAGTGATGACCGCCTATCTGCCAAGCGCTGAGTGTTTGAGGATGCGTTTTCAAACTTTAAGCAGGTAGCTTTGGCCATATTATAACGATTGTGTATTTTTTTCACTCAGAATACGAAATATTTTTTTTTGAAACTTTCCTCACTCACCTGATGAAACGCCTTTATAGTTTCCTCACTCACCAGATTAAATGCCTTTATACTTTTCCCACTCCCCAGATGAAAATCCTGTAAACTTTCTTCACTCACTAGATGAAACTCCTTTACACTTTCCTCACTCACCAGATGAAATGCCTATATACTTTCCTCCTTTACCACACGAAACGCTTCCATACACTCCTCACTCACGAGACGAAATGCGAAAGTTTACATACCTTAACCTAAAGTCAAGCCAGCGTTAGATAAGGGCGCCATTTTCTGAATCGCCCTTGCCTGGCGCCTTGTTGTGGCTCAGGATAAGTCCTTTTTCCACTATCCTTTTGCTGCACATGTTTTGATTATTAGAGACAAGAGCAATTTTAAAATAAATGGCAAAAAGCAAAATGTCTGATAGTGACTTCGGCTGTTTGATAGCGATTGATCTGGAAGCTGAAGAGTTCCTACAGGTTTAGTGTATGGGCTTAATTTATATCTTTATTTTGGTGACATCCGTCTCAGCTAAAGAGATAATACCCCTCAAGGGCTCAAGATCCTCTCGATCGAAACCACGGTGTCCCACTCAAGTTATCCAATTCCTCCCGATTAAAAACCTCGGTGCCACCTCCAGGTGGAACTGGGCCAGCTGCAGTCGGCCTACAAACAGCTGGTCGTGCAGATGACGACCGTGTTCAACAAGAAGCTGTGGTACGTGATGCTGGAGCAGTTCTGCATGAAGTACGTGTGGTCCGGCACGGGGATGGTGATGCTCGCGCTGCCCATCCTGACGGGGCGCAGGGGCGATGGTGAGTGGTGTTCCATCACCCGTAGCTTTTTGGCTGGTGATGAGATGTTGTCAATTCGCAGTACAAGATGATATTATAGTAGATTTAGTTCAGGATTATATACTGTTTGGTAATAACGAATCACCAAGTTGTTTAAATTATAACAGCTTATATAAGCTAAAAGTAATAAAACTAAAACTAAACTTAAGTATTCAATATACAAGTTCAATTTCCGGTGCCGGCACCAATGACATGTTAGCCAGAGGGCTAAATTTCAGTGTTCACTAATGACATGCTTAGCGGTGGGAAAAGCAAAAACCATTTTCATCACCTTACTAGATTAAAAGCTGTTATTTTTTTTACACCCTCGATTACTTTATAAAAAGTAACAGCCCATCTCCCACTTTCGGGAAGATGCCTCCATTGTACAGAGGGCATTAGGGAATAATCCACCACGCGGCCCCACTGCGGATTGGCGGACTTCACATATCTTCGAAACATTTCTTTTGTTATTATTTCTTGAGAGGTTGCAACGCATCTGCAACCCTACGGGTGTTGCAAATATCCATGGGCAGGTGGTTATATTATTCTATTATTACTTAACATCAGGTGAGCCGCCAGCTCGTTTGCCACTTTTTCACATAAAAAAAAATATTTCGAAAACAAATACGATGGTTTGGTTCACCGCTGAGCACAATACACGAATAAAGATAGTTGAAATTGAATTTTAACAGTGTGCTTAACAGCATTTTCGTCTATTACAGAGAGCACCGACGAGGGTGTCAGCGCCCGAACTGAGTATATGACGACGTCCAGAAATCTGCTTAACTCGGCTGCCGACGCCATTGAGAGGCTCATGTCCAGTTATAAGGTGAGCTATCAACCTCGCTACCTGACGGTGACCATTTCCACCCTATAAATATCCTTAAAATTCATAATAAGACTTCATTTATGATTTATAATCAGTTAAACCTCTGTGTTTCGATTGAATAAAAAGAAATAGTTAATTTTAATGAATTATGTGTCGCGTTTGATTATGTTAAGTTTTAGTTTAGTATAGTTCGTTTTAATTAATAAGCGTAAAAATCATTATAATAATAAATTATGTCAGATTTGAACAATACATAAAGGAGCTGAGAATGTCGTCGGTGTGGCAATCAGCCGTTTAACACAGTGGCTAGAGCGTCATGGCCACGAATCCCGAAGACGTGGATTCGGTTCCCGCAGCGTCGAGAAACTTTTCGTTCCTTTTTTCTACAAATTTTAATAATTTTTAAGTTAAAAAGAATTAATATATATTATTTATTATATTTATTTCATTACCCCAACCAGACGAGAAAACAAATAAATATACCCACTATTAAAATAAATAAAAACGTTCGCTGAAGATGACGTGTTCGTGATTTTTGTTCACCCAAAATGTGCTCAATGCGCCTAAAGGAGTTTTCAATTCGAAGAAAGAAAAGAAAAAAGAACGTGGAGTCCTTCCGCGTGGAAGAAGTGAAACTTTGAGTGCCACGCATTCCCTTTCGCTCCGTCTCTTTCTATTCCCCTTCCCCATGAGTGTTGAACGTTTAACGCAACAGCGCTTTCATACCCCTCCATGGTGGCGTTATATGTTTAACGCCACCTTGTTGGAAGTCGCATTAGAAGATTCACTTCAACATGGTATTTTGAAGCCGTGCTAGCTCAATGTCCGGGCGCATTAAAGGCGAGTTCAATATACTCGAGTAAGTTGAGTTCGATCCCCGGTGCCGGCACCAATGAAATTGTTAATTTCAAGTGCTGAATTATCACGTGCTCAGCGGTGAAGGAAAACATCGTGAGGAAACCTGCACATTTTCGAAATAATAATATAAAAAATAAATTTTTCGAAGATATGTGAAGTGCGCCAATCCGCAGTGGGGCCGCGTGGTGGACTATGCCCTAACCCTCTGTACAGAGGAGGCCTTTGCCCAGCAGTGGGAAATGTATAGGCTGATACTTTACTTATGGTACTTTGCAGGAGGTGGTGACCCTGGCGGGGTACGCGACGCGCGTGTCTGACATGCTGATGGTCTTCGGGGAGGTGGCCAGGGGGCGCTGCGTGAGGGCTGTTCATGCAGCGCCAGCGCCAAATGGCTTCCAGGTCACCTTCAGGGAGCGCCAGCCCGTGCCGCAAGGTGGGTGGTGTACAATAGAATAGAATATTAGTGTAAAATAGAATTTCACGGTGGTAGGGCCGCACGGCAGCCTCGGCTGTTGCACGAATGGGCAGGCTCGTCCGGGTAAGTACCACGACCTCACAGAAGACCGGCGTGAAGCGGAAGTATAATACTTTCGCATTTCGTCTGGTGGGTGAGGTGGCCGAAGCCCAATTTTCAAAAGGTTGTCAGCGCATCTGGAACCCTCGGGTGTAGCAAATGTCCATGGGCGGCGGTTATTCACTTAGCATCGGGTGAACCGTCTGCTCGCTTGGCAACTTTTCACATAAAAAATACTTTATTGCACGCAAGGAAATACATAGAAGATAAATGCATTTGTGGGTTATGGATATACGCTCTGACGTTTTAGCTTTTTTTTTTGTTTGTTTCCCATGATCTCTTTTCGCCGACTTAAATAAGACTATCTTGAGCTTACCTTTTGTGTTTATCTCGATTCTATTCCACACTGCACTTGTACCATTCTACCATATGCTCTGTACTTATTCTATAATGCTCTACATTCTACGTTCGATACATCGTGTCATTATTTTTTCTAATAGAAAAAAAGTGAACTTATTTTTTATTTAAAATGTGAACTTCTATAGGTAATCGTTCAAAAACTTTCTACACTATGCGTGATTGAACCCGCGTCTACCAGCACCATTCGCTCAAATATAATACTGTAACTACACGTAATCCTTGACCAGGTAATCATTGCTTTGTTGGTGACCCTTCCAGGCAAGATCACGTACACCAGCGACCTCTCGATCCGGCTGAGGAACGTGCCCATAGTGACGCCCACGTGCGACGTGGTGGCCAGCGGAGTGACCCTGGACCTGGCACCGGGCACCCACCTCCTCATCGTGGGGCCCAACGGCTGCGGCAAATCCAGGTAACGGGTCGAATGTGTTTAAAAAGCTGCTCCCGTTTGTAGCGCTCGGAAGGATCGGGTGGTCGTAATCCTTACTTCCTTCATCATCATCATCATTAGCCGCAAGACTATGTCGGTGACTCCGGTTCTTCGGCGAATTTCCTCATTCCGGATTTTGTCGCGCAAAGAAACTCCGAGCATAGCTCTCTCCATAGCTCGTTGTGTGACTCTGAGCTTCTCCTTACTTCCTTACTAATATTGTAAAGGCGAAAGTTTGTATGTATGGATGGATGTTTGTTACTCTTTCACGCAAATACTGCTCAATGGATTTTAATGAAACTTTACAATTATATAGCTTATACATCAGAATATGACATAGTCTATAATTTATATACATGTTTTACGTATATCTGTCTTTCCGTCTGAATGTTACACCTTCAGCTTATTCTACGCGGTGGCAGTTCACCTGATGTTAAGTGATAACCGCCGTCCATTGACATTAGCAACAGCCGTAGGGTTGCCGATGCCACTTTTTAATAAAGCGGGCCCCGCCGACCTCACTCAGCAGTCGAAACGCGGAAGTATAACACTTCCACCTCACGCCGGTCTTCTGTGAGGTCGTGGTACTTACCTGGACTGTCCTGGACGGACCTGCCCATTCGTGCAACTGAAGACCGTTGCATGGCCCTACCGCGGTTAATTGGAGCATTTTACATTGAAGCAGACGACTTAAGACCCATTTACACGGTGCAAGTTTCTTGCTTGTTGTATACAATTAAATTGCAGCAATAAATGAGTTGCATGGTCTAAACAACAAATGGTCTAACAAATTATTGCGCGCAATTTATTGCATTCAATTATTGCTCTTGTATGTACAAGAAAATGGCATCGTGTAAATGGGCCTTTATTCTTAAGAAGTGATAATGTCCCCTTCGCCCGCAGCCTGTAAGCTTATTCTTTTTTTCCTTAAAAATCATTGCCCTTACTTTAGGTTACCGTTATCTTATGTTTCACATACATAAATTTCACGCGGACAAATATCCAGATCTGAAACAATTATCTGTGGGTCAAACAAATAGTTGTCCCGTGTCGGAATCGAACCCACGACCCCCGACGCCGAAGCCAATACTTTAAAACTGCACCACGGAGTCATCGAATTCTTTGGAGTTGATTACGTCGCCTCTCTCGCAGCCTGTTAACTTATTTTTCGGAGTTGATAACGTCCCCTTCTCTCCCAGCTTGATAGTTTATTCTTCAGAGTTGTTAACGTCCCCTTCTCTCGCAGCCCGTAAGCACATTCTTCGCATTTGACAACGTCCCCTCCTCCCGCAGCCTGTCTACTTTTTCTTCGCATTTGACAACGTCCCCTCCTCCCGCAGCCTGTCTACTTTTTCTTCGCATTTGACACCGTCCCCTCCTCTCGCAGCCTGTCTACTTTTTCTTCGCATTTGACAAACGTCCCCTCCTCCCGCAGCCTGTCTACTTTTTCTTCGCATTTGACAACGTCCCCTCCTCCCGCAGCCTGTCTACTTTTTTTTCTTCGCATTTGACAACGTCCCCGTCCCCTCTACTTTTTCTTCGCATTTGACAACTCCCCACCCCTCCCGCAGCCTGTCTACTTTTTCTTCTTCGCATTTGACAACGTCCCCTCCTCTCGCAGCCTGTCTACTTTTTCTTCGCATTTGACAACGTCCCCTCCTCCCGCAGCCTGTCTACTTTTTCTTCGCATTTGACAACGTCCCCTCCTCCCGCAGCCTGTCTACTTTTTCTTCGCATTTGACAACGTCCCCTCCTCCCGCAGCCTGTCTACTTTTTCTTCGCATTTGACAACGTCCCCTCCTCCCGCAGCCTGTCTACTTTTTCTTCGCATTTGACAACGTCCCCTCCTCCCGCAGCCTGTCTACTTTTTTCTTCGCATTTGACAACGTCCCCTCCTCCCCTCATGTCTACTTTTTCTTCGCATTTGACAACGTCCCCTCCTCCCGCAGCCTGTCTACTTTTTCTTCGCATTTGACAACGTCCCCTCCTCCCGCAGCCTGTCTACTTCTTTTCTTCGCATTTGACAACGTCCCCTCCTCCCGCAGCCTGTCTACTTTTTTTCTTCGCATTTGACAACGTCCCCTCCTCCGCAGCCTGTCCTTTTCTTCGCATTTGACACGTCCCCCTCCTCCCGCAGCCTGTCTACTTTTTTCGCATTCGCATTTGACAACGTCCCCTCCTCCCGCAGCCTGTCTACTTTTTCTTCGCATTTGACAACGTCCCCTCCTCCCGCCCCTCCTCCCGCAGCCTGTCTACTTTTTCTTCGCATTTGACAACGTCCCCTCCTCCCGCAGCCTGTCTACTTTTTCTTCGCATTTGACAACGTCCCCTCCTCTCGCAGCCTGTCTACTTTTTCTTCGCATTTGACAACGTCCCCTCCTCGCAGCCTGTCTACTTTTTTCTTCGCATTTGACAACGTCCCCTCCTCCCGCAGCCTGTCTACTTTTTCTTCTTCGCATTTGACAACGTCCCCTCCTCCCGCAGCCTGTCTACTTTTTCATCTCGCATTTGACAACGTCCCCTCCTCCCGCAGCCTGTCTACTTTTTTCTTCGCATTTGACAACGTCCCCTCCTCCCGCAGCCTGTCTACTTTTTCTTCGCATTTGACAACGTCCCCTCCTCCCGCAGCCTGTCTACTTTTTCTTCGCATTTGACAACGTCCCCTCCTCCCGCAGCCTGTCTACTTTTTCTTCGCATTTGACAACGTCCCCTCCTCCCGCAGCCTGTTCCGCATCATCTCCGGCCTGTGGCCGGTGTTCGGCGGCGAGCTGGCGGTGCCGCGGCCGTGCGCGTGCGCCCACTGCGCCGGCGAGCCGGCCGCCCCGCCCCACTGCTCCACGCGCCCCGTCATGTTCTACATACCGCAGAGGTACATTGCTACACTCACGCACACGCACACTTTTACACAAGCATACGCACACGCACACTCACACTCATGCATTGTAGGGTACACTCAAAACCTGCTCGACTGAAAGGCGAGTGGGCGCCCATATAACGTCGCACTGTCTAACTTGTGTATAATAATAGTAGCCTTATGTTTACAAGTTTAATGCATTTTTGTTTTACATGAATGCCTCATTTTTTTTGTTATGTAATTTTTATGTGACAAGGTGGTAAGCGTTTTTCTAAAGATTTCAGACACCCGTAAGGATGTAGATGCGTTGCCATCTCTTAATAAATTGGGCCCCGGCTAACTCACTCACCAGGTGATTCGCAGAAGTGTAACACTTCCACTGCTCTCTCCAAATTTATTTTTTCACACGCAGACGCGCACGCGCACGCACACGCGTGCACATACGAGCACAGCCTTGTTTCGCTTGCGACGTACAATACATTGCACCAATTATTTAGGATTAGTGGCACCGTATGCTTTCGCTTACGAAGGTCTCGTTCCCCGTTCACGCTACGCTTACACGCAAGCGAATACGCACCATACGCCCCGCCAATAAGGCCGCGATCGCGTTGCAGGCCGTACATGTCGATGGGCTCGCTGATCGACCAGGTGACGTACCCGTCGCGCGCTGCGCGCGGCGACGTCGCGGCGGAGGCGCGCGCCGCGCACATCCTGCGCGTGGTGCGGCTCGACGCGTGCGCCGCGCGCCTCGGCGGGCTGCGCGCCACGGCCGACTGGCGCGCCACGCTCTCGGGCGGCGAGAAGCAGCGCCTCGCCATGGCGCGCATGTTCTACCACCGGTGCGTGTCAATGCGACCCTCCCGCTCCACTCCTCTCTCGCTTCCCCCACCCCTCAACTCTCTAGCAGCGGCTCGCCATGGCGCGCATGTTCTACCACCGATGCGTGCCACCCTGCACCTATCTCCCGCTGCCCCATTTAGTCCTATCACTGTCCCCACCGCCCCTATCATTCTCCCCTCAGATATCGAGAAGCAGCGGCGAGCCGGCCGTCAATACTACAATGTGCGTATCAATACTACCCTCCCCCTTCACTTCTCTCTCTCTCTCTCCCTCCCTCTCTCTCTCTCCCTCCCTCTCTCTCTCTCTCCCTCTCTCCCTCTCTCTCTCTCTCCCTCCCTCTCTCGCTTTCTCCCACCCCTCAACTCTCTAGCAGCGCCTCGCCATGGCGCGCATGTTCTACCACAGGTGCGTGGCAAATCGACCCTTCCCCATCCACTCCTTTCTCACTTCCCCTCACCGCTCTACCCTCTCGCAGACCCTCAGATCCCGAGAAGCAGCATCTCGATATAGCGCTTATGATCTACCACCAGTGCGTCTCAACACCACTCCCACTTCTCTCGATGCCCCCTCCGCTGCTGTAGCTGCCCTCTCACACTACGAGAAGCAGCGGCTCGCCATGGCGACGTATTCTACCACCAGTGCGAGTCAAATAACCACCCCACCCCCTGCCCCACTCCCCGCCTCCGACTGGCCTCACAACCTCGACACCATTGTCTGCATCCGAATGATTGTCTATCCATCGTCCCCGCTTCAATAAATTATGAATACGTCTAAATTTCACAGAACCTCACCTGATCAGTTTAAGTTTTATTAATAAAAATAAAGCACGTCTCTTATAATAATAGTTTTATACCGTTAAATATGTATATGAATATATCCAGGCCCGTATACGCGTTGCTCGACGAGTGCACCAGCGCCGTTTCCATGGAAACGGAGGTGGTCATGTACGAAGAGGCTATAAAGGAGGGCATCACTCTTCTCTCGATCACTCACCGGCCCAGCGTGTGGTGAGTGAAATGGAATACGATTTCGGCCCTAAATGTGACTTTAATAAATTAATTGTCGAAATTTTTAGGCAATTCCAGGATTCGAACCTGCGTTTTTAATTAAAACTTACAAACGCTGTAGCCAACTGCGGTAAGCGTACGATATCCTCTCGATATGTTAAACTTGCGAAATTGCCAAGCGCGTCAGGTGTTGGCAATCATTGTTAAATAATGCAGAAAGCGCCGAAAATTTTCGACAATTTTTCTATCAGTATTACATTTGCGTGCAGACTTGCGCGACATATAAATAATAATCCTACATATCAATAGCCAGAGTAATATGTCTCGTTCAAGTATTGCTTGTAAAATGTTATTTTGAAGTGGCGCCCAGAATTGCTAAAAATAGCAGATGGGTTTACAATTGAGCGCTATTCGGCTCTGACACTTGCTTCTATACAAATGAGTTAGTCATCATCAATGCTTTTGATGACTCCCTGGCGCAGTTGCCAAGGCATTTGCTTCGGCGACGGGGGTCGTAGGGTCGATTCCCACACGTGAAAATTATTCGTGTGACCCACAGCCCTGTAGTCCCGGGCTCATAGAATAGGGCTAAGGTATCCCCTGCCTGCGGTACAAGGCGACTAAAAGGGGACACGGATTGGCGGCAGCACGAAATGGCCTCGAGCTGCCGCAAGATGGCGAGGGAATCGGGGATGGTTTATCCTTCTCCGAAGCGTACTGACGCGCAGATCTGAGGGCCACCGGTTCCGTAGGAGATCCCGGAGTACAGAAGGTGCCCACCGAGGGGGTTTTAGTGGGTACGAACCTCACACAACCCTGTCATCTCATGACAGGGTATCTTTAGAAGATTTCCCCCCTGATACCAAAAAAGGGGGGCAATGTTTTCGAAGGGGAGACCACATTAGACCGCTGTAGGTCGCAGTGGTCGACTAACCCACCCCACCACACAAAAAATACATCACCATCGTTCACCATCAGGAAATACCACACGCACGTGCTGGAGTTCGACGGCGCCGGCGGCTGGTCTTTCCGGCCGCTGGAGAAAGACGTGCCGGCCGTCAGCCTGGCGCCATCCGTCAGCTCGGAAGCCGCCTCCGACTCCGTGGACAGCGGCGGCGAACAGTGACGGCGCTGAAGGTGGAACGATCAGATGGTAAGTCCACCGCCAGCGTTCGGCATCAGGGTTCGAGACGCGTCTGTCACCGGAGTGAAAGTGTAATCCATTCAGTACGTCTTTTGTTTGGAAGCAGAAGTGTACTTTATAATGAATAGACGCTATCTTCTAAAATGTTAATATATTATGGCATAGATTTTCTTAATGTCAACATTGATAAATTAATTAATTATCTATGCTATTAAAGGTCGTGATACATATTCTTGGCTATTTATATGTCACTGTGGATTACTCAAATGCACCCTGAATTTATCTGCCGATAATACACGGCTTCTGCCGTTGTCTAACTAGATAGTTAATTGTGACTTGCGGAATATACCAGAGATCGTTATATTTCGCGAACGTTTTGCAACATTGGGTACGATTTACACCGAGTAGTGCGACAAAATGCAAGGGCATCTAATTCTAAAGTATTTTAAACGTGCCTACTCGTGCAGTCCGGTGTGAATCGTACTTTATGTTACCCCGAGCTCTAATTGTCTATAGTATTAAGTGTATCGTTACCAAAAGGTATCCATTGTTTATCGATAGGACTATCTAAGTAATTTTAAACCTAATTGTCTTATGTATAGAGTATGAACTGTTTTGGACCACAATGTCTATTTTGAACTAATCAGACTTAATAATTACTATTCGCAATTAATTCTCATATAGACTAGCAAATTACCTCTAGAGATTTTTCATTCTAAAACTGTACACCGTTGATTAAGTAAGCCGTTAAGGTTTATATTTCAGTCCACTTGAGACTATTTAGTTTTAAGGATTTTATCTTAGTGTATATCTTTTTACTATTATTGCATTGTGGTCTATTATTAGACGAATAATATTGTCACAGTGTCGATAACGTGAGAGATTTTTACGACGTATACCAGTTATTTAGTTTTGTAAATATTTTTCGTATGTGATATTGTGTCTTTTGATTAATGACCGCGTAACTGTACCATGTATATTTTAATTAAGATAAATTTTTGATAATGGTTAATTAAGGAATAGTTGTATGGCACTTGGCTTTGTGAAACTTGAGCAATAATTTTTATGAATGTTTTAGAGTAATTTTTTTTTAATTTTTGTTTATTTTTTACTATTAGGATGAATCGTGTGATCAAAAAGGTTTTAATTACTTCTCTGTTTATATTTCATTCCCGTAAAAGTGTTTATACATCGATAACTATGTAATACATGATTTTGAGCATTCGTCTTTAAGGTTAGGTGCCTATTTAGCGTTACTGTGTTATTGTGTTTACTTGTAACACTGGATTATTATTGTGATGAGATTTTCAATATGGCTGTTGATATTTTTTTCTACTCTTTTTTTATTATATACAAGAATATTGTAGATGGGGGTCGGACCGAGCGTATTATTTATTCACCAGGTCACCTGGTTCAAGTATGTTGTACAATTTCGTGGAAAGGAGACGCAAGTGGGAGGTACGAATAAAATGGGTTTCATTGAGAATAAAGTCTTTTATTTATAACTAGCGACCCGCCCTGGCTTCGCACGGGTGCAATGTATTATACATATAAACCTTCCTCTTGAACCACTCTATCTAGTAAAAAAAACCGCATCAATATCCGTTGCGTAGTTGTAAAAATCTAAGCATACATAGGGACAGACAGACTACGGGTCGTCCCGTAGTCTGTCTGTCTGTATGTAGTGACAAAAATAATTCTTCAATTATTTCAACCATTGTTTACATTTGCATGTCTAATTTTAGCACGCAAATGTTTAAAGACAAAGTCCCAGATGGGATTCCCGGAAGACTTAGATTATGCGCGCAACTTTGTTAGCAATGTCTAAACGTAAGATACTAATCTCTCTTAACAAATTGATCGGATTTAGCGAAGTCAAAAGTTTTGAGGGCGTTCCCATCGTTTTTGAAAAATTTTAAGTCTGCAGAAAAGTCTTCTGTGAGATCGTGATACTCACCCGGACGGACCTGCCCATTCGTGCAACAGTGTTGCGTGGCCCTACCACCGCAATTAACTATATAACCATTGATATTTTATACTACAGATATGTTGAAGTGAATGTTCTGTGGCGAACAAACATAGAGGCAGCAAATAAGTTTAATATGAGGAAGAGGGAGACGGATGCACCTCGAGATTTTTTACACTTATTTAAAGCATTAACGCAGCGAACTGCTGCGTAGGGCCACGCAATAGTACCACGACCTCACAGAAGACCGGCGTGAAGTAGAAGTTTTATACTTCTACTTCTTCCATGCTTAATCAACCATATTCGAGTTAGGTTATATCTTGTATTGTTTTAATTAATATTAATTATTAAAAATATTGTATTAATTAATAAACTCTGAGTGCCGTTTTCCTAAATAATGTTGACACAAAATGGCCGTTACTAATATAGCGGTGTCCGTAGTGTGCTTAATCTGTCGTGTAATTCCACGTAGCGACGAACTAACGTCTTGTTATATGGTGGAGAAAGGAAGGGTAGGTAAGACTGATATCTGTTTACCGGGAGCAGAGGTCGTCGGAGTTAACCGAGGTCTGGGGCTACTGGTTCGGAATTATTGCGTTTTTGTATAACATCAACCGGAATACAACATTAGTTGGATGTCAGATAATTGTTGGTATTCTAAAAATATTATCATTAGTATTTCAGACAGCTGCGTTGACAGCGTTTGGTGAGTATTTTTATTTAATTTCGAGTGGACTATAGTATGTTTTATTGTCAAATAACTGTTAAAAAAGGTATTGTCTCGCCGAGTGACTTTGGCCGATTATTCTCAGGTCGGCGGCTTTTATTTTTCGAAACGATAATAGTATTTTCACAATCAATAAGTAAGTGTTAGTAATGCCTCTTTCTGTGTTAAATATAGATATTTGATCCTCATAGCGAAACGGAGATAGATTTAAAAATTTATTTTATTTAGATATTGATGATAAAATGTAAGTTTCTTATGTCGAATGAATGATTTAGATTCTTTCTTTGTTTTTGATTATTTCGAATAGTATGGAAACATTTTACTTGATGGTAGGAATATCGCCTGTAGACATCAGATATGGCAAGCGTGTTATAATGCGATGTGAGACTCACGCCCGATTTCTGAAACACCGGTCATCGTAGAGGTCACAACATTCTGGTCATTCCGAAGATCATTCTTATCAATTCAGAGAGTTTAACAATCCTTTTGGCAACTCAAATAACATTTGAAAATCCATATGACAGCTGGTTAGTTGACATCTACGATGATAAGTGTTTAAGAAACCGGGCGTTAGCCTACCCCAATATCGGAAAGAAACGCATAAATATATAATACAACGTCCTACTAGCGGACCGGACAGACGTCCTATACACACGTCTAAAATTAGAAAATTTCGAACTTTTTGTAATAACTTTGTGAATCTAAATCATTATTTAATGCACCTGAACACACACAAAGAATTTCATGAAAATCGGTCCAACCGTTTAGAAGAATTATAGATAAATAATTACAGAATATTAAATAATAATTATTAATATTATATTATATAAAATATTAGGTGTGCATTTTTTTAAAATGTAACTAGTTATCTTTAGCCGTAGTCGTGTCATCGGCGTAGGCCTCTCCTAAACCTTCCCAAATTACTCGCCCACGTGCCTCTCGCATCCATAGGGGTCATCTTAGGTTGAAGATGTCTCCCCACCTTTTACTTGGTCCTTCTTTTTTCCTCCTCATATCCCTTGGAATCCATTCCGTTAGTCGTTTTGCCATCTTTTGTTACCTACTCATCCTACAAACGTGTGCCCAATCCTGCCCAATGCCATTTGAGTAGTCTTGTTCTTTTATTTACATCTATCATTTTTTATTTTTCTTGATTTCGATATTGCTGACTTTATCTGATAATTTTAGACCTAGCATGCTCCTTTCCATTTTACGTTTGCAAATGGCGATTCTGTCTTCGTCTTCTTTTCGCAAGGACCACGTCTGACAACCATATGTCATCGAAGCTAGTCAATTATAGTTTAAACAAGCCAAGATGTACATCGCCTAACGAAAGGACCTTCTAAAATATGTTTTCATTTTTATGTTTATGAATAATTTAATTAACCAATTCGTATTTAATTTGTTCTAAGCTTGACTAAATCTTGTATATATTAATGCAAATAAGATTCCGGATAGTAAGATTACTATACTTAGTAAAGAGAGATAAAGACACTGAAATAGATCAAAAGTTGACATTGTCTCTTTATTTTATACTTAAGATTATAAACTTAAAGAGTGGTAACTTGATTTATGTGAAACGTTGCCAAGCGAGCAAACGCTTCACTTGATGTTAAGTGACTACCGCCGACCACACCGCCCATGGACATCCGCTACACCTGACCAGAATTCTAGATGCCTTGACAGCCTTTTGAAAGTTGGGCTCCGATCACCTCACTAACCAGACGAAACGCGAAAGTATTATACTTCCGCTTCACGCCGGCCTTCTGTGAGGTCGTGGTACTTACCCGGACGAGCCTGCCCATTCGTGCAACAGCCGAGGCTGCTGCGTGGCCCTACCACCGTAAACGAACGTATTAATTTTTATGTACAATTTTGACATTCCATAAGAACGCGCAAGCGTCTATTTGAATAAATATATTTTTGGTTTTGAGTTTCTTTGTTTGTCGTTATATTGTTAATCTCTGGAACTATCACTCGGATTTGAAAACATCTTTTTGCATTTGATAGTATAATTCTTGAGGAACTTGCTACGGGGGCGAAGCTCAAACGTTTGTCGCTGATTAAAACGCACGGAACAGCTAGTAATTTATATCAAGGACTTTTTTTATACAATAAAGACCAATTATAGTTCGATGAAAGAAGACAAAACATTATCATGATTTCCAAACACTTAAAGTAATGGTTGGTTGTTTTTAAGACGTCTCTATTATTAACTAGATTTGGTTGTTTGTGGTGAACAACTATTTGTGAAAACAGATTTATCTCGAGTTCGACGCACGGTGA